TTATATAGGCAGGGGAAGGGGGAGATGATGCACAATACATTGAATTTAGACATTAGGAAACTTCCTAGCAACATCCTTCTCCAAAGCATGGGGTAATCTTTCTTCATTCCTGTCTCCTTGGTGGACTAAAATCAGGGATGGGGCTGGGGTTTGTGGGGGTTTTGTGTTTTGGTTCCTTGTGGTTGTTTCCTGGTTTTTTTTGTGGCTAATATTTAGGTAAAAATGGGGGTTGTTTTTGGCTAATAAAAGGGGGCATGGATGGGGGATATAATGTGTGGTTTTGGACTTATAAGTTTGGGTTATTTGCTAGGGAACATCGGCAGGATATATGGCTGGTGGTGGGTCATGGTTTTTGGCTCTTTGTTGATGTTGTGTTGGGATTGTGAGGGATATTTGGCCAGGGATTTAGAGGAAGGGAGAGAAGGTTTTATTTGTTTATTAAAAGGCTTAAAAGAAGGAAAATAACAACAAACAAAAGGTTTTGGTTTACACACTCTTATTTTCGGCCAGGGGCTAAAATAAGAGTAATAAAAACTTTATTTTGAAATGAATTAAATGGAAAGGGGATTTGGATATTTAGGGTTGGGTTGGATGGAGTGGGAGTCGGTTTGTGGAACCCTTTGGCCCAAAGTTATTCTAGCCGCTCGGGTTGAAGGACTCGGAATTCGCACTAAAATGGATCATAATGTTTGAACGTGCATCCTTTGGTCTTTGCAAGGGTGTGGGACATGGGGGAGGGTATGATAGGGCCAGGCCCAGATATAACACAACTTCTCAAAATTTTGTTTTACAAAACGATGAATATTCATGATTTTGTACATCATCATTTTAAATGACTTCACCTAAGGAAATTTCGGGGACGAAATTTCTTTAAGGGGGGAGAAATGTAACGCCACAAAACATGGCCTAAAATTTATTATAAAACAAAAATAGTTTTGAATATCATTTTGGTCCAATAAAGAATATTTTTACGTTAGACCAAAAATAAATGGATTTTCAAAATAAAGACTTTTGTTAAAAACTTATTTTTATGGATATGTCTCAAAGAGACGAATCCAATGGTACATTTTATGAACCAATCTGATTTATAGCTGTGACGATTTTAAATATTAAAATTTGTAACTTTGACCCATAAATTAAACTCAATTCAAAGGTGATTTCATAAGATTAGAAATCATAATTTTTATCTCATTCATATCATTAAATTAATTTACGACTGAGACAGACCTGAACATTGAAAAATAAAAGTTCTCAGAAAAATATTTTGATTACATCAAAATTCTAGTTTTGATGGTCTCATTCCAAAAATACAATCCGTTTTCAATTCGGAGCAGTTTGGGCGAAAAAGCACGTACCGTTTGAAATAAACTATTCAATTTTAGCAAAAAGCCAAAACTATAATTCTCAAATCCCTCCCCAATCAGGTAAGTCACTCCACTAGCCACCCTATCCATCCTAAGAAATCCACTAACTCTCCACTAACATAAAACTCCAAATCCCTTTCTCATTATTACACTCCTACTCCTTTATGTTATTACCATCATCATCATCAAACACCACCATCATCCATCCCATTCTCTCTCTGTAGGCAGCTAAGGAGGAAGAAAAAGCAAAATTACTCCATGGTTGTTTGCTAAGGAAGAAGAAGAAGAAGCAAGAAAACATCTAAAGTTTCCAAATCTTAAGCTCAAAAATGCAGCAGCCACTTCAAGGTAAAAACTAAAATTTTCCATCCATTATCTCGAAATACTTTCTGAACCAAAGTTGTAGCCCCGGACGACACAAAGCCCGCCCAACAAACGGCTCGCGATTTTGTTGAGTAACGAAGAAGATATGACAAAAATACCGGGACTGTGCCAGTGGTGGCGGGCTCCTCGGGATTGGCTATGTTTCTTCACCAAATTCATGTTGTTTCATTCCAAACACTTACCATTAACTCTTTAACGATTATTAGGAGCATCCGAAAGGTATTGTAGAGAAGGTTCGGTGTTGGAATATTGAAGTTAATGAGTTAATCGTTGGAACCGTTGTTCACCGGAGTATTCAAAAATTCTGGACAGCAACTTTCCCTTGACTTCAGGTCCGATTTACGCTATCTTACATCTGTTAACTCGAAATACTTTCTATACGAAAGTTAAAGCCTTACATCTTAGGAATCCAAAGAATCAAACGGTTTGCGATTCCGTGAAGAAACGATGGAGATATGCCCAAAATACGGCAGGCTGTCCAATTGTGACGAGAATGACAAAGTTGGTGAATTTCGATGTTGTTTCCACTCCCGCTCATCCGTAAGGTTTCGGCCGATGATTTCCAGGTCTTTACCCTTGCGTTAGACTTGTCGAATCATTCATCACGTATGTACATGAACATATATATTAATCCATATGTTGAAATAATCCCAAAATATATATGTGATGCATATATAAGTCATCTATATGTTGAGATCAAAATACACTAAATCCATAAAGTTAATATACACATAAGTAGATAAAATCCTTGGAAATCAATCCAACAATATGTATATGTTAATCAAATGTGCTTAAAAGACTTAAAGAAGTATTTTAGACACTCAAAATATCAAGAGAAAGATTCGCAGACCCAAAAGGTCGACGCAAACGGTCGACCGTCATATTAAACTTTGAAACGGACCACGACTTTCAGCAAAACGGCCGACCACCGTTGGCGAACGGTCGACCGTCACGGTGATCCGCCAATCCGACGAAACAAAGAACAAGGTCGAGCGCCGTACCAAACGGTCGACCGTTCCGAGCCCAGTAGCTTGATTAAATGATATTTTAATCATGTTTCAACCAAATAAACTTATGCATCATTATATATATATTCATATTGTTTGCAAATTGTTCACATCATATCATTTCATTTCATCATTCATATTGAAGCATATCACATCATATGCATGCGTAAGAGATCATGCCATGTGCGTCTCTTATAGCATGTTTGTGCGGGACTTAGCAGTCCGACATCACTGACCGGGCTTAGTGTATGTACATGGTATTCAGGCTTTCGAGTACCACCCCTATTTTTCTAGTCTCACCTCATTCGTGAGACTATGGTGGCATGAGTTCATCGTACCAAATGGGCGAATCTCATAGTGCAAGGGTCGTCCTTGTGGTTTATAGGTTCATGCATCATGTTATCATCATCAAGTACATTGATTACATAGGTGTCATGTAATCATCATCAAGAACAACTATATTGATTACATAGGTGTCATGTAATCATCATCAAGAACAATTATATTGATTACATAAGTGTCATGTAATCGTCATCAAGAACAATTATATTGATTACATAGGTGTCATGTTCTCATCCTCACAAGCAAATTGATTAAATGTGCCATCATGTAATTATCATTAAATATTTATCATCATGATTCATCAAATTGACCATATGATATAATGTGTCATATCATGAATATTGTTATACATTATTGTGGACGTATATATATGTATATGTATATGTCTGTGAATTATTCTACAATTCTAGCGTGGTACCACTTGGCGGTTTTGCTGAGCGTGTAGTTTGTATTTTTCGTTGACTACACGTAGGTAAAAGGAAGATAATGATGGAACCACTCTCGGAGGGCATTGAGTGAGAGGAGATGCAAGGATGGCAGGCAAATGTTTGATCATTAAGATTTAAAATGTGTCATGATTTGATTATTATTATACTTTCGCGTTACTCTGAAAATATTTTTAAATGGGTCGCGATCCAGAGTCTGTAAATTTAACAATTATAAGTAATTGTCATTTTCAAATGTCAAGCGAAATTTTTATTTAACTCCGGTTTCACCTTAATACGTACGTGTAATTCCGGGTTATACGGATTAGGGTGTTATACTACGTATTTCGAAATGAATGTTTATATTTTTACGGGAATGAGTACTACTTTATTTCAGAATGAGTACTACCGGAATATACCTATTTCTAAGTACATCTGGATGTACCATATACCAACTCCTAGAAAGGAGAAGAATAAGGGGACGTAGGAAAGGGGAAGAATGAAAAAAAAAGTAAATGGATAATAAAAAATCAAACAAAATCTTATTGAAAACTATGGTAAAATCTTTCAAATTCTACGTAAACGTAAAATAATCTTTTGATTTTATATAATATATAGATTCTAACAAATCTATCAAAATCTTTTAAAATCTAAATTGAATACATCCTCTCCCTTAATTGAACATAGTTCAACAAATTCAGAGCCATCTCTGTGGATAAGTTCTACCATATACCATTCTCCTCAACACCTCGTTCTCGAACCAGGTCTGCAATCTCAAGCATTGGTTGTAAGTTGCAGCAAAAGGCAAAAGCAGGGCCGGCCCATAGGGGGGACAGGCACACCGACCGGACCGGGCCCATGAATTATTGGGGCCCAAAATTTTAAACATTAAATATATTTATGTAAGCCCAAAAGCCTTGAGGCCCTAACCAGTACTCCAAGTCAAGACTCCAGCATTCCACGACTGGCTTTGTCTCGCATCTAGTGGTCCAATTCCGGAATTTCAAGCGTACGACTTCTAGGATGTACTCGTAGTTCAGATTATGACTGAGGTTTTGGCACTTATTTCATATTCATTCTTCATTTTCGTATATTTATAAATTTAGGGTCAATTGTTAATTGTTATTTTGTTAATTAATAATCTTTGTTATGTATGAATTTATGCTTCAACGTGTTCTTCATTTCATATGATTTTTTTATTAACTACTCCTTTGGTCCTTAAAATCTTTCCTATTTTGATTTTTTTGGTCAAACACTGACACATTTTGACTATACGTTGTGAGAAAAGTATAATTAATTTTAATATAAATTGATCATAATTGGGTCTATTTTAGGATATAACTTTTATATATCAAATTTTTATATCATTTATTTATTTAGATTATATCAAAGAGTGTCATTGTTTGACTAAAAAACAAAATAGGAAATGTTGTATAATTTTTTCATTCATTTATTTTGTTATAATACTATTACGTTAATTGTCATTTAAATATAATCATCATATATCATCATATCATATATCATCATATATCATATATCATAAAGTAGAGCGGTTTAACTGACGTTGTGACATTTGGCAGTCCATGTGTGCATTACAGTTGGACCAATTATGCTTAGTCATCCAGCCACGTATTTCAATCCATCATCATCATCATGTCTCAGCCTATGAGGGAGAGGAAGCGCTCAAGATATGATTTCGAAACTGAAGCGCTCCGAAAAACCCTAGAGAAGATTCTTGACGATTGGAGATGATGAGGGACTACCTCTCTTTTAAACGCCGCACCACGACCGCCATGTTCAGCGTCCAATCTTCTTCTCCATCCTGACTGAAATTATTAGTTATTCGTTTTGTTTAACGCTAAGAGAGCAAAGAGATGTATGCCCTTTCTCCTTCTTTGAGACTACAAAGCAATGCGTTCGAGACACTCTTCTTCTCCTACAGTCTCTTCCCTCTCTCTCAATAATCAATTTTCAATCGGCAGAGCAAACAAAAGGTGGGTGGCTCTTTTCTCAATTCATTCATGATTATCTTCAATTCCTTTTTTTTCTTTCATACGGGTATGGTGATCAAATACATGTTTGTTAATTTCTTTGGTCAATTTGCTTTCTTTTTATTTTTTTTTACCTAATTTACTGCATATATAGATTTTCCTAATTTTATTCAATTGACATTTAGTTGTTTGTTTTCCTATTACCTCATCAGACTCAGGGATGAAGACCACTACCCATCACTTTACTGCTATTTTTAAGTTAAGTTTGTCACATATTTCATATTCGTATTTTTATAGGTTTTTTCTGTTGGAACACGGGTTTACGTCTATGTCATACTAAACCGTGTTCGTTTTATGACAGGTTTTGATAATGCCAAACCGCCGTGACAATAACAAGGTTTAAGTGAGCAAAACCAAGGCGAAGGATCATGGCATGATGATTTGAGAACCAAGAACCTAGAATCAAGAACGAAGACTTAGAATTATATTGAGTCAGTCTTAATGTGATCAAGACCGGCACAAACTTTCAAAACTCGGCTCTCTAGGCTCATCTCATCAAAATATTCTTTTTGCATATTCAAAATGTTTTTCACATGTTTTAAATTTGCCTTAAAACACTTGGAGTTTGCCCAAACCAAAAACCAAGCCATCCGGCGTTCAAAATTCAGAAACCGGCGTTCGGCTTTCGGTTATCGGCGTTGGTTTTTTGGTGTCCGAACCAACCAAGTGGTTTTCAACCTTTTATGATTGGTTTTTACTTCTGGGAATATCTAAATAGTTCTCCAACAAAAACGCTTCAAAAACCATCCCTCGTTTTTGGTTGTTTAGTGAAAACCATGCGAAACGGCGTATGCTCGGCTAGCCGTGGTTTTCAATTAAATGACGTGGCTTTTAAAATGTTTTACTTGATTTCTTAGCAAAATGCTTTAAAAAAACATTTTCAATACTTGGTTTTCATTTTGGAGAACTTACATTTTTTGACATCGGCTAACGGCTGACTTAACCAACCATGGGTCTGGCTAAACCAGCCAAACAGCGATGTTGGTGTAACCAACAACGCTGTCTGGCATGGGAAGCTAAAAACCATAGTTTGGCGTTGAGTCCTGATGTACCCCTAGATGGCTCCACCAAAACCCCAACTCTTCCCACATATCCAAAAGTATTCTTTCTTTTCTTTAATTCAAAATAAAGTCTTTCCCATCAAATTTTAGTCAAAAATGAAATCAAAGGAAGACAAGTCAAACTTTTGTTTCTTTTCAAATCCTTTTTTTTCCAAATAATTCCTTCCCTTCTTTTCTTCTAATGCTGATTCTGAACCTGTAAATAATCGATTATCATTGTTTGATAATCGACTATTGTAGCCCTCTGATTCTTCTTCAAAATCTGCAACATCACATAATCGATTGTCTTGCAGTGTAAATCGACTATCTGGTTCCTCTGAACATTTCCAGTTGAGCTAAAGCCTAATAATCGATTTACCAAATGTGCTAATCGATTATTCCATAGCTCTGAATCCTGAGTGAATCTGTTCCTGTTTGCTCATCCTAAGATTGGGTATAAGGCTAAAATTATGTCCTGATTTTCAACAAAGAATAAAGCCTTTTCTTCCACAAAACAAAAGCATAATCACTTTTGAAACAAAGGAACAAAATCAGAAACAAAGTCATTGAATGAATAGTGTTGTTTTGGCATTTTATTCACAAAAGTCTAAAGCTTGATTCCCCTTTGTTTTCTTCCTTATATGCACGAAATTTCTACCCAAATAAACTCAAAGAAGATNTTGATTTGTAGGAAAGAAGTAGGAAACTTCCTTGTTGTATTCTTCCTTCATTGTTCTTGTATTTTTCCTTATTTGTTGTTGTATAAATACTTCAGCCATGAGGCCATTGTAAGAACCAGATTATTGAATTAAAAAGCCTTTGTTTTACTCTTTGAGTAATTCATTAAAATAGTGTGATGCTATTTTAACCAAATTTTCTAATGAAATATCTCTAAAGTTGGCTACTTTTGAGTGCGTGTTAGGAGTCTAATTTTATACATTAGTAGTGATTATTAATGTGTAAAAGAAGATAAAAGCCCCAAGTTAAGATAAGAGTGTGTCATATCTCTTAACACCAACTTGGTTTATCCCTTCACTTTATTTCTGCCCATTTCATTCCTCACCATTTCTTCTTCTTAAACTTATTCTTTTCTCTCATTAAAAACACCAAAAAGATCTCTTTCCCACACTCCATATTTCATCCCTTCAGTTCTATCATCCATTTTCTTCCGCAAATCCGCCACAAAATAGCTACTCGATAAGACCCCGGGTCTCAGGTACAACAAGTCCTCAAACAGCGATGTTGCGTGTTAGACATCGCTGTTGAGCCAAGGTTGGGTTTCCAGAAACATCTGGAACAGCGATGTAGACTACCCTACATCGCTGTCCAACCTAAGCCAAAAAGAAATTCTTCTGGCAGAAAGATTTTGGACAGCGATGTTGACCCAGCAACAGCGCTGTCAGGCCAAACCTTCCACATTCAAAGCCAGACCTAAACAGCGATGTTCAAGTAATGAACATCGATGTAGGGACCTGACCGTTGGAAGGAATTTAAGGCTAAAACTTTTCTTGTTTGGATTCAACAGCCAAAACAGCGATGTAGGGGTTTTTGGACATCGCTGTTGGCATGACCGTTGCTTCCCATTTTTCAAAACCCAATCCTAGAACAGTGATGTCCAAGCCTAGGACAGCGCTGTCTGGGTGAATTTCAGCAGATCCAAATTTAATCAAATCCCACAAATTATGCCAATCACCCCTTAAATGTTTTGATCCGTTGGAGCTTATTTTTCCACTATAAAATGGGGTGTTTGGGTCTGTTTTACATATCACATTACTTCACAAATTCTACTCTTTCATTGCAAATCATTCATCCTTTTATTCATAGCTTTTTGAGAGCCATTTTTGTGAAGCTTGTGTTGTGTTCTTGAGCGTTCTTAGTTACTCATTATCCACTCTAAAAGAGAGTATTGTTCTTGAGTGCTTTTAGAGTTCTTAGACACTTGACAAGAGAAAATATTTCTCTTGTTGTTCAAAGGAAGGGTTGTTTCCTTCGAAGGTTCGTTGAGGTTCGTGTGACTCGAACTCTCAAGTTGTACGGGTTTGTTAAGCACCGTTAAGCTTAACGAGACAGTAGTGTAGCTCGAAAGAGTCTCTGGGGAGGCTGGATTAGCCACAAGTTGTGGTGAACCAGGGTAAATTCGGTGTGCCTCTTACTCTTCTCTTCTCTTTTATTTATTTTTAATTCCTGCGATTTCTTGATCAAACGCTATTCACCCCCCTCTAGCGTTGGTCTCTTATTCTAACAATTGGTATCGGAGCCTAACTCGGGTCCAAACTTAACCGTTTGAGAGTAAAGCGATCATGGGTTCTTCTTCCAGAAATCTCTATGCAGGAATTGGAGAAGGTCAATCAACTTCTAGGCCACCGCTCTTTGATGGCACCAACTACTCCTATTGGAAGGAACGGATGAGAATCTATATCCGTTCCACCAACTTCCAATGAAGAAAGTGGGAGAAACCACGGTCCCAAAGACCGAGGACGAGTTTGATGCTGAGGACATCAAGAAGGTTGAAAACTACGCAAAGGCTATCAACATGCTTTACTGTGCGGTCAACCCCGATGACTACCAGAAGATCTCCTGTTGCACAACCGCCAAGGAGATGTGGGACAAGCTTGAAGTGACGTACCGTTTGAGTTGGTGCCCTTATGGCCAACTGCTGTTGTAATATCTTAGATATTTTCTATCATGTAAAGGCAGATGCATTAAGTTTACAAACATCTCATGCTAATGTAAACTCTTAATTGCATTCCTAGAATTATATTATAAGATGTTTATCAGAATGAGTCTTCTAATGTTGAGACTGACATCTTGTCACTTAGTATAATTCTGAACGGTCTATAGTCGAAGCATTAACGAGAGTGGGATATCGTTAGTGCGCATGAGACTAGTGAGAGTTAGATGTTTGACCTAGTCTCGTGGTCAATGACAGAGTGTTCGCATCTTTTCTTGGGCAGATATTATCGTTAATAATAGGATGCCAGACCTGACCCACCTTAAGTACATTGCCTAGACTTTTAGTCTATGCTCTAAGTGTCCTTAATGCGACTATTGGTATAACGATCCTTAGATTTGAAGTATTACGTTCTTCGAATGCGTGAACCCGCATGCTTTGATTCATTGTCCTAAGCCGTATGAAATAAGGATCGTACACAGGCTTTGTATTGGGCATGCCGCTGCACGTATTCGAAGACGTAGATTACGTACAAAGAATTTGTCACTGCTACTCAAGCAGAATAATGTCTTGTAGGGGCCCACTGATAAGTATGACTGAAGAAATGCATGGCCATGCTGAGATGAGTTTAGACATCTGTTCTCATCAGTCATACTTGTTAATCAGTAAATAACTTAATGGCTACAAGTTGGATATTTTATATCCCTTGCACTAAGTTAAGACATTGGGACAAAAGGATCAACGTTATACAAAGTCTTAGTCGTAGAAAGGTTTTGACGGAGCAAACGTCTGAACTTATAATCTGGGAGTAATAATATGTGTTGCTAGATAGCGCTTATTACTTATAGTATTGGTGTAGAGTCAATACTGTGGCCAATTTTATAAGTGCCTATATGGGTCACACACTTTGAACAATTTAAAGAGTATGATTATAAGAAGGGATAATATTTAATTTGTATTTTGTAAAATAGTAAAGTAAAATGTTTAATATAATATATATGTATGTATATACATTATACATATATTAAAATATATATTTCGAAATTGATAATATATATTTATTGAACATAAAATTTCATTTTATGGTTAGTAAAATTATATTGTAATTTTCGAAATTGTTTATTTCCAATTTTTGAGTTAATTGTATTTGTTTAGATTTAATTCCAATAAATCTTAAATAAATATTGGAAACTCAAAAATGAACTTTATAAAACTTGGAAATATTATTTCTAGGTGAAATAAAGTTGTTCATAAATATATTGGACAAAATAATATTAGTTAGTAATTAATTATATATATATATATATATATATTATATATATATATTACCTAGTAATATATATAAATATAAATATATATATATATATATATATATATATATATATATATATATATATATATATATATATTGAAAATGGCTAATATCATTTTGGAAAATTATATCTCAGTAAAAAGTAAGTTGATTTTTCTAAATATTAAATTATATAATTTAATGATTTTTGAAAAATGGTTTAGAATTATTTTTGCAATTATTGAGATATAATTAATATATTTGGGAAATAAATATTTATAAATTCTGGAAATTTATTTTTCCGATTTATAAATGCATAAAATAGTTACTGGAAGATGGAAATTAATTTTCATGATTTTTGCAAATTTATTTCAAATTTAAAATGAATTTTGGAATAAACATTGCACTAGGGGCATTTTCGTAATTCTGTATCTACTGGAACTTTCTTTTCCAGTTTTGACCCTGGCCGAAAGTCACCTAATGTATTTAGGATGACTTGGTAAAATTTCATAATTTTTGGACCACTTTATGAATTTTTATGAAATTTAGAAAATATTACAAACATAGTATTTTTCTAGAATTGTCTGGGGCGAGCGCGGTTCGCCCGGTGTATGTATATCTCTATTGCCTGTGGGATGTATGATATGCATGGTGGATGATTGTGGCTTTAGTTATTCATTATTGATGTAATTTAAATACGGCCTGCGTGCCGTGTCTTATCTCAAAACTCTTGTTGTAAATCTATTTCTCTCTCTTAGCTCAACCGAGGATTCTTTTCTCACATGGTGGTTAGAAGATAAATGGATTTGAAGTCCGTTCGAGGGAATCTAAAGGAATGGAGATAGCCTGAAGTCCAAGTACTTGGAAGTTAGTGGGAGCTATCGTTTTATTTTTCCTTTAGGGGCCACAATCATTACACGTTTATTTACTGCGTATTTTGAATGCATGTGAATGTATGTTTAACGCTAGTAAATTGACACGTGCGCAGCATGTGTCGTAGGTGAGATCGTAATTATTTAAAATCCCTCTAAATATTAAGTCTGTATTGCCTTCCGACGCCCGGCACCTTTTTGGCTAATGTGCACTGTCACGTACTCAGCCCTAGCAGAGCGTAGTACTGTGTATGTTATGCTGGTCACGGGAATCACTTAAGTGGTCATTGTAAGACGTTGGGTTAGACTTAACTGATTCTCGGTCAAATGGATGGATGACTCAGAGGCAGGTTTTGTTGGGGTCACTATACTGACAAGTCGAATTACTTTACTCACTCATCCAGCCAGAAGTTGGGTCTCTATGACTTAATTGGGCTTGGCCCTAACTAAAGTAGTTGTGCATGTGGTACGTGCCAAAGCCAATCACATGTACATTGAAACGGTGTTCTGGTCCGTAAGTAGTATTGTCGTTCGCCCAACACAAGACCAAAAACTGTGAGCGCGGCTCGACAGTTGGAACTATGTTCCTACCTAAATAGTTAAATTCTAAGTACGAACCTCAGGTCAACTAGAATTTAATGATATATGGATCTTGGCCCATTAAGAGAATCTCTAGGAGAATCTCCGAATCAACATTGAGGGTTGTTGGTTTGTTAAAATAGTGGGAAATAATTAATTAAAAGGCCTAATTAATTATTCAACATGATAGATAACCTAGTTTGCAATTTCATTCTGTAGATGGCATCGAATAACACATACAGTCATTCCATCAACCTGCGGTATATCCTCGAGAGCTTAAAACTCTCTGGGGAAAACTTTCTTGACTGGGAGAAGAACCTCCGGATCATTCTTGACTGTGAGAGGAAACTTCACATCCTCGAAACGGATCCTCCCAAGACCCCTAAGGCCAATGCTCGTGCGTCCGAACTCACTTCCTTCAAGAAGTATGAGGAAGACGCGCGAAATGTTAAGTGTATCATTATGGCAAGTATGACCGCAGAGCTCCAAAGGCTCCACGCGGACATGGAAGTGCGTCCTATGATACAACGCTTGAGAGACCTTTACCAGGGTAAACCCCAAAACTCAGATATTTACGCTATCAAAGTCAATATGTCTGATTTCACCTCTTGGGTGATGGATACCGGATGTGGTTCTCACATCTGTACTTCTATGCAGAATTTGCATGAAGTTAGACATTTGACTGAGGGAGAAGTCCAGCTTAAGGTTGGAAATGGAGCACTTGTCAATGCGTTGGCTGTAGGAACTTATGTTCTATCTCTCCCTAGTGGCTTGTTGTTGCATTTAAATAATTGTTTGTTTGTACCTGCAATTAGCAGGAATATCATTTCTGTGTCCTGTCTTGACAAAGCAGGATTTTCTATTAACGTCAAAGACAAGTGCCTTTCGGTTTTCAGAAATGATATTTACTATGCAACTGCTAAGATGACCAATGGTCTTTATATCTTAGACTTAGACGCCACTGTTTATAACGTAGATGTTAAGAGAAGCAAACCAAACAGTTTAAATCTCACATACTTTTGGCATTGTCGTTTGGGCCACATTAACGAGAAACGCATATCTAAGTTACGTCACTCTGGCGTACTTGATTCATTTGACCTCGAGTCTTATGATGTATGCCAATCTTGTTTACTCGGTAAAATGACAAAGGCTCCATTCACCGGTCACGCTGAAAGGGCGAGTGATGTATTAGGTCTCATACACTCTGATGTATGCGGCCCAATCAACAATGAAGCTAAAGGTGGTTTCTCATACTTAGTAACATTTATTGACGACCTCAGTCGGTATGGATATGTGTATCTCATGAAACACAAATCAGAATGCTTTGACAAATTCAAAGAATTCAGAAATGAAGTAGAGAAACAGTTAGGCAAAGGTATCAAGACCCTCCGCTCGGATCGAGGAGGTGAGTACTTATGTAACACCCGCCTTCCGCGAACCCAGTTCACCCGCGACCCGACGGACCGGTAGGGTTACATGGGCAGTCCGAGAACCGTCCGTTACATAAAACATTAATGATTATTTAATAAGAAAACGGTTGAGTTTTAATTAGTGAAATAAATGCCTGGGAGTTACTCCCAAAACGTGTATAATAAAAGTACAGAGTAAATGCGGAAGAAAATAAATAAATCTAGTCCAAATTAAATAACGACAAGGGTGGGTTCATGCCCAAATGATTAACCAAGTAATTAATAGTAAATATGAGTTCGTCCGTGCGCCGCCCATCTCCCCATCGTCATTGCTCTCTCAGGTTGGCACCAGCCCCGTCATGTCTACCTGCGTGTAGCAAAAACAACTACACGCTCAGCAAAAGCTGAGGAGTGAATCTAACAAAAGAACATTTAGTGATAACCCATATGGCTATACACATATTAATACATGTACTTAACGTACGGGAAACCACATGTTACTAACTGTTTAGTTTTCACCTGCTAGGACTATTACAACAACAAGGTGGTAGGAGCATACATGATGATGATATGACTTGATGCATGACTTAAACTATCAGAGACACCCCTGACTTAGTCTCACTCAACATGATCACCCTTGCACTCCGGTCACCGTACCCGAACGGTAAAGGGCCGGGCACGACGAAGATGTCGCGAGTGGACTAGCAAAACCGGGTAGTAGCCGTAACCTGACTACTATGTACGTACACAAGCCCAACATGATGAAAACCCGTTGGTCCCCAAAGGTTCCTGGACGGGCCCACTGTAGTAGGCGCACGAAGTCCTCCCTACAACGGTATGCACATGATGAAAACATAGGACATGCGTCTAGAATGAACATGATGAATGCTTGATATATTTACCTTTGGTCAACGCCAAGAATATATCAATTAAATTAATTTTATAACGAAGATTAACATTTCATGCAAGAAACGACTAAATTCTGGGTCAACGTGGTCAACAGGGCTCGTTCTACAATCTGCCCGGAAAACTGCCCGCGAAACGGTCGACCGTACCCTACCGATGGTCGACCGTGGGCTACACTTTGGAGGTCTGGATGGCCGACGGTCCACCGTGGTCTTCCGTCGCGGCCGACGGTCGACCGTCACGGTGGTGACCGTCGGTACGGCTGTGGGAACGGTCCACCATCCGTAGCGGCGGTCGACCGTCCCGATGACAGTCCGCAATCCCTTGCTTCGTTTTGGTCCGTTTTGCTAATTTAACACTTAGATTCTTTTTAGATCAATAAAACAACTTTGATGAATATATTCCTAGTGATTTCTAGGCCAATATTTATAGGTTTTACGTAATGAACGTTTTGGTGGTTAACCTACGAAAATGCATATATTCTACGTAGGTTGCGTACGATATTCCTACGAATATAACGACATAGATTATAACAGAATGTTCTAGAATTAGAGGGGACAACTACTCACCTCTAAATGAAGGGATTGATGGAACGAGATGAACGAATGGTGCTAACGAACGGACGAACGACGACTACGCTTCGCACAAACGACCTAGCCCTTCTTCTCCTTCAACCTTGCACCCACCGGAGCTTCGCCGGAGGTCTTCCTTGGCTGCTGGACTGGCCGAAAATGAGAGAGAGAAGATGAATGGTGATGGAGCTTGATGATTGAATTAACAAATGGGGGTTACAAAAATGGTGAAGGGGAAAATGAATGGGAAGGGGAGTTTTAAAATGCAAAAATTGATGGTGAGAGATGAGGGAATTGATGGAGAGTTAAGGGGGATGCATGGGGTGGCGTATGAATTGAAATGGGGAGTTGCATATATTAATTTTGCTCCGTTATATAAAATCTGATCTGAACGGTACGCGCTTTTTCCCCCGAACGGGTCCGAATTGAGATCCGTTTGCATTTCTAGAATCAGACAGTCAAATTGAATTTAATGATGTGGTCAAATAATTTTTCTAGGAACTTTTTATTTTCCCTAACTCCGGTCCAGAACAGTAATTAATTAATTAAATTAATCAATTCTATTAGACCGGGTTGTAGGGCGTTACAATTATCCACCCCTTAAGAAAATTTCGTCCTCGAAATTTACCTGATCACTGGTCACTGAAAAGATGCGGATAACGAGTGCGCATGGATTCCTCGGTTTCCCATGTCACCTCCTCGACGGTGTGACTTCTCCACAGAACCTTGACCAGCGGAATGGTTTTGTTCCTCAACTGACAGACCTCACGAGCCAGAATCTCAACCGGCTCCTCCTCATACGTGAGATTCTCATCGAGTGTGACTGTATCAGCTGGAATCACATGAGAAGGGTCCGACCGGTACCTCCGGAGCATGGACACGTGGAATACATCGTGGATCTTGCTCAACTTCGACGGTAACTCGAGCCTGTAAGCTACAGGTCCTACCCGCTCTGTGACTGGGTACGGGCCTATAAACCTCGGGCTCAATTTTCCCTTCTTGCCGAAATGTAAGACGCTCTTCCAAGGTGTCACCTTCAAGAAAACCTTATCCCCGACTGCATACTCGATGTCACGCCTCTTAAGGTCAGCGTAGGACTTCTGTCGGTCCGAAGCCACCTTAAGTCGGTCTTTAATCACCTGGACCTTCTCCTTGGTCTCCCGAACTAAATCTGGTCCTTCCAACCCCCTCTCGCTGAGCTCTGTCCAGCAAGTAGGAGTACGACAAGGTCTACCGTACAGAGCCTCGTACGGTGCCATGCCGATACTAGCCTGGTGACTGTTGTTGTATGCAAATTCCATGAGCGGTAGATAACGCTCCCAACCGTCCCCGAAGTCGATTGCACACGCACGCATCATATCCTCGAGAATCTGAATCACCCTCTTCGACTGACCGTCTGTCTAAGGGTGGAACGCTGTACTGAAGTGGAGATCGGAGCCCAATGCCCTCTGTAGGCTCTTCCAAAACTGTGATGTGAATCGAGGGTCACGATCCGAAATGATAGATGATGGAACTCCATGTAGCCTGATGATCTCGTGGATGTACAACTCCTCTAACCGCTGAAGTGAGAAGTCACGACGAATGGGGAGAAAATGGGCTGATTTGGTCAACTGGTCAACGATGACCCAAACTGTGTCGTGCTTACGTGGTGACAATGGGAGTCCCACAATGAAATCCATCGTGATGCGATCTCACTTCCACTCAGGAATGGTGATTTGCTGAAGCCTGATGCTCGGCCTTGACCTGCTGACAAGTCAAGCACCGTGATGTGAACTCTGTGATCTCCCGCTTCATCGCAGGCCACCAGTAATGCCTTCTAAGATCCTGAAACATCTTGTTCTGCCCGGGTGCATGGTATATACAGTGTTGTGTGCTTCGCGAAGCAGGCGCTCTCTCACCTCCCCTGCTAGCACAACCATACGCTTCCGATAGTACAAGATACCATCCCGAATTGCAAAATCTGGCTTCTCTCCTCGAGAGACGAGCTCAACAGTCTGGATACAAAAATCATCGCTGCTCTGAGCCGATGCTATCTGCTGCTGTAATGTAGGCTAGACGTGTAACACAGCTAGAGTCTTACGACTAAGGGCATCGGCTACCACATTCGCCTTACCTGGGTGGTAAGCGATGTGACAGTCGTAGTCCTTAATCAACTCTAACCACCTCCTCTGTCGAAGATTTAGATCCTTCTGCGTCAACAAGTACTGAAGGCTCTTATGGTCGGTGAAGATACGCGTCATCTCACCGTAGAGGTAATGCCTCCAGATTTTCAAGGCAAGTACAATAACTGCTAGCTCTAGGTCGTGTGTCGGATAATTACACTCGTGCGGCTTCAACTGCCGAGATGCATAAGCAACAATCTTACCCTCCTGCATAAGAACGCACCCCAAGCCGTTATGGGACACGTCGCTGAAGACCGTATACTCCACACCTGGTGTGGGCTGGACTAGCACTGGTGCTTGGGTCAAACACTCCTTCAGCCGCTCGAAACTCTGCTGACAGGCGTCAGTCCAAACGAACTTGACGTCCTTCCTCATCAGCTTGTGCAATGGCAATGCTATTTTGGAGAAGTCCTTCACGAACCGGCGATAGTAACCCGCCAGTCCGAGAAAACTCCTCACCTCACGTGCATTACGCGGAGTCTTCCAGTCCGTGATCGCTGCTATCTTACACGGGTCTACCTTCACCCCTTCGGCTGAGATGAAATGGCCGAGGAAGGTAACCTCGTGCAGCCAAAACTCGCACTTGGACAACTTGGCGTAAAGCTGCTGCTCCCGAAGAATTCTCAAAACGATACGCAGATGCTCGGCGTGCTCCTCTTGTGTCTTGGAGTACACCAAGATATAGAATCTTGAAAGAGCTCTCAATAATTATGGGCGGACAGAGTTTCTCTCTCTGGCGATCGCGATGAACAGTAACCGCGCACCAGTTCCGTCCATTTTCCGGCGTGCTCTCTTGGATTTCTCCACCTTTGGTTGCAGATTGGTCTTCTACACTCCAAGGCGAGCCTATCCATCCTGAATTCCAGCGGCGTTGTTCAAGATTTGGGAGTCAACGAACTAACTAGGGTTCGCGACACTGTTCATCTTCTTCTACAACAAGCTTTCTGATGGATTTCTGGTAAGTGTGGCTGGTCCTTCCTTTGTTTTGAGCTATTCTTAGATGGCGAAGGGCAAGAAGAAGAAGCGTAGACCTCCACCTCCCACTCCTCCAAACAAGAAAGAGCTGCGTAACTTTCTTCGTGATATGGAGGGTGAGTCTGGGGCTGGAGGTGAGACTTTGGAGTGTTCTGATAATGTGGATAACTTCCCGGTCATGACTGAGGAGGATTCCCATCCTTGCACTAAACCTAGTGAGGTCACGGTTGAGGATGATGATGGCTCTGAATCCCAGACCCCTTCTCTTGATGAGGAAAGGTTTGAGCAAGAACTGCAGAAGGATAAGCCTGACACCAACATTGGAGATACTTTAGTAGTTAATCCTGTAGCTAATGCTGAAGCCCCTGAGGCTGCTGAACCTACTGGGAAGGAGAACTGTGAGAATGAAACAGGAGACAATGATGGCAAGGCACCTGGCAACAAAGTGGATACACCGGCTGAGAAGAAAAGCTTTGCTTCACTCTTTGAAAAGAACAGGTCTGAGGATAAAGGTATGAAACTCCACCAGGTGGAGGTGGAAATGATTGAGGATGAGGAGGTGTTTATCCAGCCTGAGGATGTGACCCCAATGGAAGAATTGTGGGGACCTTGCTTGGTTGGCTGTTTCACTGGCAGATTCCCTGGGCTGGCACCTATTCAAACTTTGGTGGAGTCCTGGAAAGTACCTTGCCAATTCCTCCCTCATCATAAGGGCTGGGTGGTCTTCAAGTTTCTGAATAATGAAGACAGAGACTCAGTCTTACATAGGGATGACCACAGAATCAACAACAAGAAGCTATTACTCAATATTCCACAGGATGGATTCATGTGGAATGCAAAATGTTTCTCTACCATGCCAGTTTGGGTGAAACTTATGGATGTCCCTATGCAGTTTTGGGGCCCTAACAGCTTGTCAAAGATTGCTTCAAAACTTGGAAGACCACTCTTCACAGATGGTTTGACTAACAAGGTTGCCTCCAAACTTACTGTGGAGAATGACCCAGAGGACAATCTAGCTTACAAGAAACCCAATTTCTGTAGAGTCCTCATTCATATGGATCTCTCCAAACCTCCCCCTTCCTGTGTGAAGGTCAATTTTGTTGGAGGCAGCTATTCACAATTTGTGGAGTATGAGGATCTCCCCCTCTACTGTTATCATTGTGAGAAATTTGGGCATACTCCTTTTGACTGTGCTCAGCTTTTTGAAATGGAAAGGAAGAAGGAGCAGGAGGAACAGAGGGACAGGGAGAAGGCCAGAGTGGAAGTCCTGAAAACCACTCTCAGAACAGAAACTAGGGACAAACAGGAGGGCAAACAGGGGTAGGACAAAAATCATGGCAAACAAAAGGAGGGGTTGGAGCATATTACTGCTCAGAAAGCCCCTGTTAATCCTGATGAACCATCACCTTCATTCACTAGGAAGGATGACAATGATGGATTCACTTTGGTGGGAAAAGGCAAAGGAACCCTAACTACACATCCTTTGAAGCCTCAATACCGAAGAGAAACTAGAAGTATGGGGCGTGGACAGACACATGGTTACAGGAATGGTGCAAACAGAGGAAGGGGAAGGGGTCCAGGCCCTAACTCTTAAATGAAGGTACTCTGCTGGAACTTTAGAGGCCTTAATAGGGCCTCTAAACAATCTTTTTTGTGTAAATACATTATGGATCTTGGGGTGAACTTATGCTGCATTTTGGAAACTAAGATGACCCAAGCAAAACTTAAACTTTTTGTCAACAATAAACTTCCTTCTTGGGCTTCAATTGATAATTTTGATATGATTGATGATGGAAGGATGGCTATATTATGGAACCCCAATTTTGTTAATTGCCAAGTTTTGGAAGTTGCTGATCAGTATATCCATTGTGGGATTTTTTGTACTATTACCCAGAAAACTTTTCACATTACATTTGTTTTTGCCTTATACAATGTAAGTGTGGGAAGGAACCTCTGGGACAGACTGTCTGATATTGCTGGCAGAATCAACACTCCCTGGGCTATTATAGGGGATTTCAATGCTGTTTTGGATTCTAGTGAGAGGATTAACTGTCATACCTATGCTTATGATATGACTGACCTCTTACAGTTTAGACTCAATAATGATCTTCTTGATGCTAAGGCTACTGGTATGCAATTCACTTGGAACAGAGGGAGCAAGTGGGCTAAGCTTGACAGGGTCTTGGTTAACTGTGAATGGGACCTCCTTCAGTGGGACTGCTGGGCTGACTTTAAACCCATGGAATTCCAATCTGATCACTGCCCTGTGGTCTTGAACCTCATTCACAACACTAACCTGGGACCAAAACCCTTCAAGTTTTTTAATATGTGGATGCAACATGAACTTTTTGACAGTGTGGTTAGACAGATTTGGGATACTAGAATCACTGGCACTAGACAATTCAGATTATGCAGGAAACTCAAATTGCTGAAACACCCTTTGAAACAACTCAATAAGAAGGAGTTTGGTCACATATCTACCAGAGCTGAGAATGCAAGAAGCTCCTACTCAGAAATGATGACCAGGCTTATGACTGATCCACAAAACTCAGCCCTCATTGAACAAGCTGCCAGCCTTAGGAAAAAGGCAACCTTTTACAGTGATGCTGAGAGATCTTTTTTCTTACAGAAGGTGAAATGCACTTTTATCAATGAGGGTGACAAATGCACCAAGTTCTTCCATGCTTTGATGAAGAAACAGAAGGTGCTGAGTTCCATCCCCTTCATTATCACAAGCCAAGGCTCTACCACAACATCTTCTGAAACTATTGTTGAGGAATTTATTGACCATTATAGCAACATTTTTGGTAATACTGTGCCCACAACCCCTATTGACTGGAATGTTTTTAGGGAGGGCCCCCTTGTGCCACATCATGAAATCCAAAATTTGATCAAGCTTGTTGACAGATCTGAGGTTAAAGAAGCACTGTTCAGCATTGGGAATGAGAAATCACCTGGACCTGATGGCTACACTGCTGCTTTCTTTAAACAGAAATGGGATATAGTTGGAAATAGCCTTTTTGAGGCTGTGTCTGAGTTCTTTACTAGTGGAAGACTTCTCAAGCAAATTAATCATGCAACTGTGGTGCTAATTCCCAAGGTTAAGGAGAACCCCACTGCCAAAGATTATAGACCCATTGCATGTTCAAATGTGGTCTATAAAGTTATCACGCACAAAGATCCTATCTAATAGGATGGCTCCCATCCTCCCTGATCTTATTAATCCTGCACAGGCAGCTTTTATCAAGGGCAGAAGCATGGTGGATAATATTCTTTTGGCTCAACATTTGGTTAGAGGATATGCTAGGAAGAGATCCCCTCCTTGTTGCATGCTCAAAGTTGATATTTCTAAAGCCCATGACACTATTTCATGGGTTTTCTTGGAGAATACAATGCAAGGTCTTGGATTTCCTCCCAAATTTGTGGGTTGGGTGATGGAGTGTGTTACAACTGCTTCATTCTCCCTTTCTATCAATGGAGGTGTGCATGGCTTCATCACATGTAAAAGGGGCATCAGGCAGGGTGACCCAATGGCACCCACTTTGTTCTTATTCTGTATGGAGTATTTCTCAAGGTTGATCAAGAGGATGCTGTATGGGAGCAGATTCACTCACCACCACAGATGCTCTAAACTTGGTATTACTCATATTACTTTTGCTGATGATGTGATGATGTTTTGCAGGGGGAACAAGGATTCTGTTACTGTCCTGGCCAACACTATTCAGAATTTCTCTCAAGTATCTGGCCTTTTTGTTAATCCCCTCAAATCCAACATCTTTTTGGCTGGAGAAATCAAGGACAGCAAGTCTGATCTCTTGTCCTTGGTTTCCTTCCCTGAGGGGAAACTTCCTGTCAGATACTTGGGACTCCCTTTGACTTCTCAAATAGCTTCAGAAAGAGACTTTGCCCCCCTTATTGCCAAAGTGGATGAGAATATCAGGAAATGGAACACTAAGTCTCTATCTTCTGCTGGCAGACTCGAATTGATCAGAAGTGTGATTCAAGGAATTGAGGGTTTCTGGTTTCAGGCTTTCCCCATTCACAAATCTGTTTTAGATAGAATTACTACCCTCTGCAAAGCTTTCTTGTGGGGAAGTAAATTCTGTAAAGTGGCCTGGGATGACATCTGTAAACCCAAAGATGAAGGGGGTTTGGGACTCAGAAACTCAACCATTTGGAACCAAGCACTACTGGCTAAGTGCTTCTGGAACATTGCAGCAAATAAGGAAACCTTATGGATACAATGGGTGCATTCTGTCTACCTCCAGGGCAGTGATTTTTGGACCTGGAATCCTAGCAAAAAGGATTCACACTTCTTCAAGAAGATTGCTGAGATTAGGGACTCTCTTTTGCAAAAGTGTGGTGATAGATTCATGATTGAAGACAATTTGTGTGAGATGGGGGACATTAAAGCCACCAAGGTCTATGATCTTTTGAGGTCCAAGGGTAACATTAGACCTTGGATGAAAGCAATTTGGAAGCCTTATATCCCTCCTAGATATTCCTTCACTGTTTGGCTTACCCTACGAGGAAGACTTCCTACAAAAATGAATCTCCATTTCCTACAGCTGGATAACAGGAATTGTGAGTTCTGCCATACTGAGGAGGAAACTGCCCAGCACCTCTTCTTCCTTTGTGAGAATACTGCTCTCATTTGGGGAGCCATCAGAAACTGGCTTAATATTGCACCAGCCTTATCCACACTTGAGAGAGCCATTGAATGGGTAGGAAGACAGAGGCATAGTCATTGTGCTAAGAGGAAAATGTGGAGACTGGCAATCATGTGCACTGTCTACACCATCTGGAGAAGCAGAAATGGATGCTACCTTGACCATGAAGGATTTAACACTGATACTATCATTTACAAAATCAAAGTGGGTGTATATAAGGTGATGCAGAGATTATACCCCCAGGAACCCCTAATCCTTTGATTATTCTGCTTGTGACCAGCCTCTGGTGATACTACTTTGTTTGGGTTCCCTTAGAACCAAGGTAAAGTCTTTTCTGAGGATACCTTGGCTCTAAACTTTGTGATTTTCCCTTTACCTCCAATGATAACTCTGTGTTTGAGGAGTGGTTGATCATTTCCTGACTAGTTCGGGTGGTGGAAATGAAGTTAACCCTTTGACCCTGTGTGGGCTGAAGGGTTAACTTCAGGTCCTGGACTGACTTGGAAACAGTTCAAATAGTAGATACCCAGTTTCTAGATAGCTAAAGTTTGAGCTGGGTCCAGATTTGGTCCTTGGGGTGCTGGAACAGTCTCTCTTCTGAGATAACTGTTCCTTGGGTTTGGGCCAGCCTCAATGGCTTAGTCTCTGGACTATGGTATTGGGGTGGTGGAAACAATTTTACCTCTTTATACCCCTTCTGGATATAAAGAGGTATCATTGGGTCCCGGTTGGGGTGTTTTCACCCATCTTCTCTCTCTCTTCCCCCCCCTCCCTTCTCTTCTTCCCCTCTTTTTCTCTCTCTCTTCTCACTCTTCTTTCTGCTGGACACAATCCATTACATAAGCCTTCTCCTTCCTTTGAGTGAGACTATGTAGATGGTTATGTCTGGCCTGGGTTTTTGGGTGGGTAACCCCTAGTGGGTGGCTGAAACAGACTTAAGTGATTGTACCCCTTCTGGATACATTGACTTAAGTCTGGGTCCGGTTGGGGGTTTTCCCTGCCTCCTCCTTCTTGTTGTCCCCCTCTTACCCCTTCTTCATTCTTTCTCTCTTCTCACCCCCTTCTGTTTCTTCACTTCTCTCTCACCTTTCTCTTGCTCTAGGACTTAGCCCACAATGCATATTACATCTCTTTCTTTGACTTGTATATGTATGAAGGCTAGTCCTCCTCGCTGTGCTTTACTTGGCTAACTGGTTCTGAACTTGGTTTGGGTTACTGTGGATCTTGTGATTGGAGGCTCATGTGTTTCTGAACCCTCCATCTTTTAGTATACATATTGTTTGCTGCCCATATCACTGACAGATGGGAGTTTGGAT